GGGCTGGAACTTTTTCATTGTTAATTGTTCGGGTAGGGCAAGTCTTTTTTCAGTAGAAGTGAACTATACTGGGTTGTGTTACCAAGACCTTTCTGCTGGTTTTCATGTTTGCTACAATTGTCTAATCTCAACCTGAAATAAAACCTTACTTCACACACAGCACACGCCACGCCCAGCGCACACACACACAACCCAACACGCACACACACAACAGTGCTTTCGTTGGAAAAACAATTGAGTTAAAGCTATTTAAATCCCTTTTCTTGGTGTCAATGAAGTTGAAAGATTTCAGTGCTTTTTAAACATTTTTTTTCTTATACACCAGGTTACTCACTGGTTGCAGTTCAGTCAGCGGCCCCATTATACATAGTATATAATTCACCTGAACAATAATATTATTGCTGTTTCTTTTTGAAGGTTTTTAAATTATTTCCGATTAAATGTCAACTAGACTTCTAAATTTTATTGGAATCCCGCTTTAAACATTTAACTTTTGATATTGCAAACTATACAGCATTGAAACTTATAACTTGACAAGGATCTTCCTCTTTATTCAGTCTCAAATGTCTAGTTGCTTAATTCCTTTTTCTTTTGGTCATTTTTATTGCGTGGTTTTTTAAAAGAAAATAAAAAAAATTAGTATTCATGTTACCAAAAATGGTTGCTCCGTCTGCTTGCTTAATCTGCACGGATTCACTCCTTAAAGAGCGTCGAGGGAAGGTGGGGTTGAGGGGCAAGTTGCGTTTTTTTTTCGATTACCACTGTTATCGTACAGATTTGGTGGCAAAAACTCTGACAACTGAAGCCTTTGCCCTTGGGCCAGTCCAGCCTTGTTCATGATTCCACCTTTCTGTTAGGAAAACACACAGAAAGTTAGGTATTTTTCCTGCACCACAACAGACACCACAGCTGGTGTTTTTTCCACCACTCTTTGGCTCTTCCTGTTTTCTACCCGTGGACTCTTTTCAAAACCCCTCTTTTTTATCCTTAAACCCAGGAACATTTAGGAAGGTTTAAACACAAGCCAAAATATGGATTTTTATACCTTAAATGTGGGGAATTTCATTTACTTATCCCTTCTAAACTTTTATGTCATTTCAGTTTGTATTTTGTGTAAGAAGAGTAAAGTTTTCCGGTGTACTGTGGAGGAAAAGATGATGTTGGTCGACAAAGAATACAACTGTTGTTCCGTCAGGGACCAAATTAAACCTTTCCCACGTAAAAAGCCTTTCCGGTGGAGGTTTTAAACTAACCAAAACAGATTATAAACCAGCTTTTCAATAGTGGGTCCCTAAAATCGGATTAAAAATATTCTGATGTTTTCAAAAAGCGACCCTCAATCTAAAAAGGTCATGTCGGCATTTTTCAATTCCCGGGGACTTTTTATGTCATTGAAGTGAGGACAGACGTTCACAAATAATGGCTGAAGGAGGCGGGACCACCCAGCAAATATTCATAATTCATCCATTACGTTAATTTTGTCAGCTCCGATTGCAAACCAAACATTCAAAATAAAAAAGGACAGTAAGAACCACAACAAATATGGGGGTTTTTATACTTCTTAAACCTTGGTTCCATGTTGGTACAACCCAATGGCCCAAGATACATTCATCTTAACACAACTGTGTCAGGTTGGTTGGAGCGAGTTGAAGGTGATGTTTTCCTGGTTTATGCACTGGGAATTGCAGGCTAGGAACTTGGATTTTGCTTAAACTGTTTATTATTTGAAAACCAAGATTAGCAACCATTTTATTTTCCCTTCAGTGGGGCACTACTTATTTACTGTCTTTTTCTGTAGTTCCTTTGGTTTTGTTTGCTATAGAAAACAGAGATACCACCCAAAAAAGAACTCACTCCCCTGTGACCAGTTGTGAGAGAAGTTAAAAATTCCGCCTACATTCACAAGATTGATTAAAGGGGTCCATCTGGACAGTTTTCACACTGGAGAGAGGAACCATAGACAAGGCATTGTGGGAGGCCAATGTGGTAAAGGCTTCTCTCAGTCAAGTAACTTAGGTGGGTCCCACGCCAACCATATTCAACCCCCACAGGAAGTTGGGAAACCAGTTTACCACCTGCAGAGAACATCTGAAAGAGGCTTTTTCATTCTTTATCATGAACGGGGATAGCAAACCCCACGGAAGAGAAGAACCCATACAGCCTGTTACCAGTGTGAGGAAAAAAACATCCAAGGACAAAGGAGAAATCCAAAAACATTTCAATCGGAGAGTTTCACGCCCAACGGGAGAGGAGGACGCGTTTACCCGATTGGTCAGGAGTGGTTAAAGGCCAATACAGGTTTTCATATGCAGTGAGGCTCCCACAAGTCCATAAACCCGGAAATTTTCCCACCATTTAAAAAGAGAACCCCTCAACGTTTTGTCAAGTTGTTGGGGAAAGGGATTCAACATCGTTTTGCAGGAGAGCTAGATTCAACCTGAGGGTTCTCACTGGAGAAATTAGAACCATACAGAAAACTGTGAAAAAGCATTTTGGGGGGAAACTTTTTTTTCAACGGGTCCCGGGTCGCTATTAGGAAAATCCCAAACAAAAAAACTTTCCATAAGCGGAGAAGAGGGACCATCACAGCTGTGTGGGGTAAAGCTTTCTCTCAGTCGCGTGGAGAGGAACCATACCACTGCAGATGCTGTGAGAAAAGCTTGTCGTTAATGCAACAAGTACAAACAAATCCACACAAAAGAAATTGGTGTTAATAAATTTGATTGCAATTTTACAGAAGCCCTGAAAGGCAGTCAATATGTAATTTTTTTTTCTCATTAATCATTTCAATGTTTTCCCTTGTGAAAGCACTGAAATGTGAGTTAAAACATTTTTGCCTGTTTTCAAAGATGAATTTTTTTTTTTTACCCTAGAACAAAAATGAGCAAAATTTTGAAATTTCTTAGCATTTAGAGAATTCGAATAGCTGCCACTCAAATACTTCCAGGTGCTTTCACTCAGTTAGGAACCTTCCTGACCAAAAAAGACTATTTAACTGGAGGTTAGAGGGAGTGGTCTTTGTTTTACAGTGACGTGCACATTTTTACCCCACTCTTAATAAAGATCAAGAAGTTTTCTCTTAATGTTCTTAATGTGTTTTTCTGCAGCCAGACTGGAACTTGAAGCTTTGGTTGAACTCAGTGTGTTAACAGAGCGGCAGCTGTTTCTCTGTGAGACTCTTGAGACAGAAAAACTATGCAGGAGCTTGTATATGTAAACACGTGGTCAGGAGAAACAGTTCGCACCATGCAGTTGCTCGGGGTTACACGAGGAAACAAGTATGGTTTTAAACTGTGCGGGAATATTTGTTTTCCACTTTTGGTGAAATTTTTATTAGATAACCATATTTTTGTGTAACACAGCCAGTTTTACCTTAGCAACTGAAGAAGAAGTGGTTGATAAATAACTGTCACATTATTAATAAGAAAATGTCTGTGACACTCCTATTTAACCTAATCACATTCTGCCACAGTTTTATGTTTAATTATGTTAATGAAGATAATTACAGATGGTGCTCAAACTGAACAAAGTGAGGGGTTAAGTGTCAAACTACATAACATAAAAGTTAATATTGACTTTATACTTAAACCTAGACTCCACTGTACCATGGAAGGATGTAGCTGAAGTAACAGGAAGAAGCAACTGGTTTTGGTGGGCTTGTTGTAGAGAATTAGAAGATGTCTGTCTTTCTGTCGATTGTACAGTCATGTCTGTTATAAACACTTCTGCAGTTAAACAAAGTGCATTATTTATCAGAAATGATAAAAATTGTACTCTGTTTCAAAGGGTTGGATGGACTTCCTTACAGCCAAATAGCCATCTAATGTTAGTCATTTAAAAGGCTCTACTGTTAAAGCTTCCTTGTGTGTAACATTGAGGAGGATCTATTGTCAGCAATATAATATAATATTCATAGTTGTGTTTTCATTAGTGTTTAATCAGCTTAAAATAAGAATCGTTGTGTATGTTACCTTAGAATGAGTCGTTCTATCTACAGACGCCTCGGTTGCCGTTTTCC